GCGGCCAGGAGTTGACTCCATTATGTATCCTGAGCCCATAATTTTGGGGAGGGCAGACCTCCCCAGCGAAGGTACGTATCTCTCCTCTGCTAGTCATGGCTGCTCATTGCGACACTGCAAGCTTTTGCAGGACCAGTGTGGGACATAGAAATGGTGCCCCTGACCAATCAGAACATGCAGCTCCATCTATCTGCCTGCATCATGACCAACAAAGCACACGCTCGAGCAGCCAGAGTGGTAAGCTGTCACTGGAGGGTCTGGGATGGTCAATGACGTAGGTGGACATAAGGCATTCCTTTGGGATTCTGGATAAGTAGAAAGGTTCTTGTCGCACTCCTTCCCGGAGATCCCATGTAATGGAAAGGGTGCTCGTAATGACTGCGGATGGCACTGCTGTATGCATAAGATCAATGTGAAAGATGTCACCAGCACACCGAAGATCCTTTTGGAATCACCAAATGCTCATTTTATTGAACAAGTTGTCAGAATGGATACAAACGCTTTCGGGACCTCGCAGGGTCCCTTCATCAGGCTTCAGCAAAGTGTGCTGGTGACATGTTTCATATTGATCCTTTGGGATTCTATGACAGCTAAAGGGGAAGAAGCGTGAGCTCTACTAAACTGCGGGGGACTTATCCTGTTCTTGGAGAAGGGTGGATAGTCCCTGGAGTGGCTGTACACATCTTCTACGCCAATAAAACTTGGAGAAGGGCGGATAGCCTCTAGAGTGGCTGTACCCCTCTTGTACCCGAATAAAAACTTGGAGAAGGGTGGATAGCCCCTGGAGTGGCTGTACTCTTGTACCCCAATAAAAACTTGGAGATAGGTGGATAGCCCCTGGAGTGGCTGTACTCTTGTACCCCAATAAAAAATTGGAGATAGGTGGATAGCCCCTGGAGTGGCTGTACTCTTCTTGTAACGCAATAACAACTTAGGGAAGGATGGATGGCCTCTGGAGCAGCTGTACCCCTCTGTACCCCAATAAAAACTCGGAGAAGGGCGGATGGCCCTTGAAGCAGCTGTACTCCTTCCCCTTGTACAACAATAATGACCTCGGGAAGGGCAAATAGCTCCAGGAGTGGCTGTACCCCTCTTGTACCCCAATAAAAACTCAGAGAAGGGCGGATGGCCCTTGAAGCAGCTGTACTCCTTCCCCTTGTACCACAATAATGGCCTCGGGAAGGGCAAATAGCCCCTGGAGTGGCTGTACCCCCTCTGTACCCCAATAAAAGCTTGGAGAAGAGTGGATAGTCCCTGGAGTTGCTGTACCCACCTTGTACTGCATTATACACTTGGGGAAGGACAGATAGCCCCTGGAGCTGTACCCTTCTTGTACCCCAATAATAACAGGCAAGTGTGGATGGCCCCTGGAATGGCTCTAACCCTCTTGTACCCCCCAATAAATGCTTAGGAAAGGGCTGATAGCAACCTGGTTCAGCTGTACACCTTTTGTACCCCAATAAAAACCTGGAGAAGGGTGGATAGCCCCTGAAGCAGCTGTACCCCCTCCCCTTATACTCCAGTAAAAACTTGAAAATACAACAGATCTGCAACAGATTCCGCCATCTGTTCTAGTGACTCATAATAATCACATTTGTGCAAGAAGATCTGCTTTACAGGACCCTTCGCGTTTGCAGTGACAATCACTCAGTCACCAAAATGCATATATTATTACTGTTCAGGCAAGCCGACAGATAGACGTAGAATAGAGAGTTTATTCGTCATCCGCTCTCTCAATAATTCGCGCTGAACATTCTTGTCTCCTCCAGGCAGCGGTAGTAAACGCTCGGTTGCCCCGGCAACGCGTTGTTGTGTTATGGAATGTGACGTAGAACCCACGTGCTGGGTGACCAGTTCTCGCTGACATGCCAGGCGCTGCGGTACAGTGTACACAGAACCGGAGTGCCGGAACCAGTGCCCGGGTAAGTAGGTGACACCTCCTCTTCAACACTACAACCACCAGCATGCGTTGTCGCCAGCTGTCACTGATGCCCGATTAATGCTGTAGAATCTAAGGATCTGAACCTGTCTCTGATCATCTGTCCTGTTGTTCTTCTGCATCTTACAGTACTGGGATGGAAAAGGTGGATTCCTGCGAGATGCTGTTCTCTGGGATTTGAAACACTTTACCTCCTGAGCAATGTTTTCTGCCTTTTTTTTGTGTTAAAATCTGCATTTTGGCTTAAAAATACTTAAAACCCCACCAAACAATTATTCATTTTATGAAAGCAGGGATCCTGTAGAATTAAAAGACTGTAGTTGACATTTTTCGATCACAGGATGTTTGCAAAACTCTTTATTAATTCTGTATTTAAAAAAAAGAAGACTAAAATTAATTTTAATGACAACCAACACAATTTGATTTCCAATTTTTTGTTATAAAATAAAAGATGGGGTTGTGTCAAGTAAATCAATACCAAAAAAACGTGTGCCCCCCACGAAAAGGCGAAAAACACTGAAAGTATCCTGAAAGATTCCTGAAAGTATCAATAGGCGACACTTTGTAGTCCGGTTCACACTTTGTCATTTGAGAGAGCGATGTATGTTTATGATGCATGGTGATGATGTGTGTGGGTTTTTGCTGTTCATTTACACATGCGCTCCCTATGTTCTTGTTTGCGACTATGTGAGTGCGTGGAGGCAACGGGGGTGCTTTTACTTTTTTTATTTTATTTTAATGTAATTTACACATAGCACTTTTTTTTAAACTTTATTACTATCACAAAGGAAGCTATCAGGCCCCCTATGTGATAGCACTTGACAGACTGTTAGACCCCTGATGTCTCCCTTGCCCTCTGCTAGAGCTAATCAAACATAGACAATGCTCGATCAGCATTTTTGAGCCCGAATCAATCAGCATTTCTCAACCTGGATCAATCAGTATTTCTCAACTCGGATCAATCAGCATTTCTCAACCTGGATCAATCAGTATTTCTCAACTCGGATCAATCAGCATTTCTCAACCTGGATCAATCAGTATTTCTCAACTCGGATCAATCAGCATTTCTCAACCTGGGTCAATCAGCATTTCTGAACCCGGATCAATCAGCATTCATCAACCCGGATCAATCAGCATTTCTGAACCCGGATCAATCAGCATTTCTAAACCCGGATCAATCAGCATTTCTGAACCCGGACCGATCCACTTTCTGAACCTGGATCGATCCACTTTCTGAACCCAGATCTATCAGCATTTCAGAACCCTGACCGATCCAATTTCTGAACCTGGGTCGATCAGCATTTCTGAACCTGGACGGATCCACTTTCTGAACCCCGATCTATCAGCATTTCTGAACCCGGATCGATCAGCATTTCTGAACCCAGATCGATCAGCATTTCTGAACCCGGATCGATAAGCATTTCTGAACCCGGATCGATCAGCATTTCTGAACCCAGATCGATCAGCATTTCTGAACCCCGATCGATCAGCATTTCTGAACCCGGACCGATCCACTTTCTGAACCTGGATCAATCAGCATTTCTGAACCTGGACCGATCCACTTTCTGAACCCAGATCTATCAGCATTTCAGAACCCTGACCGATCCACTTTCTGAACCTGGGTCGATCAGCATTTCTGAACCCGGACTGATCCAGTTTCTGAACCCAGATCAATCAGCATTTCTGAACGTGGATCAATCAGCATTTCTGAACCCGGATCGATCAGGATTTCTGAACCCGGATCGATCAGCATTTCTGAACCCGGATCGATCAGCATTTCTGAACCTAGACGTGCTCAGTGGTGAGGACTTTCAGGTTCACACTCTGCAGAGGATATCAGGGAAGAGGACATGGGCTCGCCATCCAGACCCTGTTTGTTGAGCAGGGTGGCACTGACACTGCTGCCCACAGCCCAATTTGACCAATTCCTGCTGAAATCCAAGCAGAGTATGGCCAGCAGCCAATCAAAATGTCCATTTCACTGATCTGACTCAAAGCAGATGCAACCCCTCAATAGCACATTATAGATATTGCTCAGATAACAGAAGTCTAACTACCACAATTAAATGTTTAAAACATCTTTTCTCTCTAAAAAAAAAAATCTACTTTGCACCTCTGTGCCTCTCAATGTTCCTGGGCACCTTTGGTTGCACTACTGTGTGATGTGCATCAAACAATAGATTTGCACCTCCCAGTAAGTTTGTGCCAGCATTGAAGGTCTGTACAGTTGGAGTGATGAAGAGAGCCGATTACCACCCCCCCCCCCTTTTTTCCCAATCCCCCCCCCCCCCCCCCCCCCCACCCCGAATGATGCTGTGCCGATTTATGTTACGTTAGCACGTACTGCAGTAGTCCAGCCTTCATGGTGACAACGCTGATTGCCATTTCAGTATCAGAGGTGGCATTGTCACCCCATCAAAGGAAGTGGCTGGACATATTAATTTCTGGCAGGATCACCAGGTACCTTTCCACAGAAATAGATGTTACACAGAAACTTGCAGCTTTTGTTGTAATCCTGGGTACACGCACACCTATATATCTTTTTTTTTTTTTTCCCCCAATATTTTAAAGCTGATCTCTGGAATAAGCAACACAACAGATGTGTATTCTTCAGGTATGTGCAGTAATGCAAAGTGAAACTTTGCCTCTGTGTGGGAGTTTCCTTTAGTACAGACTGGTCAGTTCTGCTCTCTCTACTTGTGCAGGGTGACTGGTCTTGTCTCCGCCCCTTCCGGTAGTCTACTGCAGGCATCCTGTGGGGGGTGGAGACTTCTTGGCCCCTCCTATGGCGCTGCTCTCTGCACAGGCTATATACCGCACAGTGATTATGCCACTGCTACTTTTACAAAGTGATATCTGTGTTTGCAATGGCATTTGGTGCACACACGGTGGATTTATATCTTTTGTGGCTATTAAAGAGTATATTTGAATGGAAGTTCTTGTGCCCGGTGTTCAGCTTCAAGTAAACAGAAACATTTTTTTAAATGTGTGCGCCAAAAAGGCTTCTAATTATTTGATTGAATGTTTTTTTCATTCATCTTCTTACAGATCCTAGTAACCAATGGATGAGGAGTTCACCAGAGACGGTCACAGCAATGACGCTGGCTATGCCATTGTAAAGTCTCTCGCAGCGGACCAACCACATCAACACAAACCTTCTTCCAATTCGGACACTTTGGACTTAAGCAAGAAAAAGCTGTGCAGTCTCAGTGAAGAACTTTACAGGGACAGTCCTCGTATTAAGGTACTTTATACACCTCTGATCCTGTTCCATAAATCAATAGTTAATATTACACATACTTTGCAGGTCTGACTGTGTACAATCCACTCTGCTCATTCAAACTCACACCATCAGGCAGCTTTCATGTCCTATAGAAGTCACACGTTGATGTTTAGATGTTTTAGTTTCCAGCAGAATCAGCTGGTCCCCTGAGCACTGGCCCTGATATCCTGTTTTAGAGAGGCTCCTTTCCCTTGCAGGTTCCTACGGTGCCACCTTTGTCTGTGCTAGTAAGCTGCGTGTCTCAACAAACACGTAGGGACAGCAAGGCAAGCCATCCTCCTGCTCTTTCCTTCTCCAGGCTAGTAGACGGAGAGCTGCTGGAGATTGCTCTGTCCCTTGTGATCTTGTACTGGACAGGATGTTCAGGGAAGCTGAGCTGAACATTTAAAGAAATGCTTTGCTAGACAATATATATTTGTTTAATCTGGATTCATTACTGAAAAATGTTTGAGAGCCTAATACTACTTTAATATGGAAGTACTACGGGAGGTGATGAGGTCAAATGCAGAGAGATGTTGCTGCTTAGATTTGTTACATTTGCTCGGAATTTCTAGCGTAGAACTACTTAGCCTGGTTCTGTAGAGTCCATTTGTTCAAATTGCTTTGATTAAAGGAGAACTATGAGGTGAGTGAAAATCACTCAGCCTCATAGTCTGAGCCGATGCGTCACAATTAAACTGTCACAGGTCGGCTCAATAGATCGGGAAGTGAGCGAACAAATACCGTCACTCGCTCACTTCTCGATCATGTCCCTGCAGAGAGCCGTGACTGTCACTCACGGCTCCCTGCAGGGATCCCCCCTACCCTCCCCGATCCTCCATCGCTGAGTGGCAGAACGGACGGGGCGGGTACAGCTGGCTCTGCCTCTAGATAGGCAGAGCCAGCTGTCAATCACGCAGCTGGGTGGATCTCGACAGTAATGTTGGGATCCGTCCCGGCTGCGGCGGTATACTGAGCTTTGGGTCGCGTCATTACACGGCGGCCCGCTTCCTGATTGGCCGGCCAGACTGCTCCGGCTGGGTACCGGAGGAAGGCCGCGTTCTGGCTGGAGAGGCCCCGGGGGTGACAGGCTGGACATACCAAGGTAAGAGGGGACAGACTTTCTTGTTAATCGGGAAGACGGGTGGCGAGTCTTTACACGCCATCTGGCTTCCTGAATGGGACTTCCGTTACTCGGTAATTGGTATCGGCGAGTAACGGAAAAAATGATCGGTACTCATACTCGGTACCAAAATACCGGTATCGTTGCATCCCTAGTTCTAACCCCTCTTCTTTTTATCCAAAACCTAAGAAAACAGTTTTGGCTTCAGGTGCAGTGTAAGGGTTGTGTATTGCAATTAATTTGAGAGACCAAGAAATGTTCTGATCCATTTTAATATATCATCTTTTTATTTTGTTTCCAGAATCTTCACCTTAAAGGAAATGCCCTTAGCTCCCTTCCGGAGAGCCTGTTTCTGTATCTGCCAAACCTTGTGTGGTTGGATCTCCGCTACAATAAAATCACAAGTCTGCCTAGTACGATTGGAAAGCAGAGGTAACTTTTTTATAAAAAGGAAGCAAATATAAGTTTCATTGTGAAAATTTATTTAACTGCTTGAAGACCAGGTGTTTATACCCCCTTCCTGGCCAGTCCATGTTTCAGAATTATTGCTCCCACTGTGACGTTCGCGGCGATATGTAACATGTGCGGCGTAATGGGCGCAATCGTCGTTTTTTTCACGTATGCGCCCCTGACGCATGTTTGCTTGTATGTATGGGTGGGGACTTTTTTTAAAAAATTGTTTTTTTTATTCTTTTTTATGTGTAACTTTACATTTTTTTGGGCGGGAAACTTACAATTTTTTTTCCCAATTTTTTTTCTTTTCACTAAACTTTATTGCTATCATATACGAGGGCTAATAAAACCCCCCTATGTGATAGCAAAATATGTGACAGGTCCTCTTTATGGAGACATCAGGGGTCTCCAAGACCCCTAATGTCACCTAGGACCCCCCAAAAGAAGCTGATGAAGCACAGATCTGCTCCATCAGCTTCTTTCCAGCTTCTGAAGCTGGAGAGTGACACAAGAATGCGAAAGTGATGTAAAATACAACACTTCCGCATTCTTGCAGCGGAGAGGGGACCGGAGGGAGGTCGTGTACCGATCTTTTAAATATCGGGCATTTTCCCGCTCGCCCAGGCGCGCGCCAGGGGGCGTGTCTGAGCCTGCTCAGATCTAGAGAGCTCCCGGCCCGCCGTTTTTATAGTTAACTACTTATGTTTACTACTTATGTTTTTGACCTTTTTTACCTGTATACCCCTTATGGGCCAGATACTTTTTTTTTTACATTTTAGCTAAGGCCCATTGATTTGTCAATAATTTAGTCTTCACCAATGGCACCATTTAAAGCAGAGAAAATATTATCCCTTGCAGTGGGGCTAACTCCGCACTTCAACGGTTGAGTGCTCATTTTTGTCTAGGTTCAAAAAAAGTTATACTCACCTGAACCTCAGAGCCGGCTGGCTGTGACAGCACTCCTTCCTGCCTGTCTCCTCCTCTGCTGCTGCGATGGTATGTCCCCCAGCATTCTCATGTGCTATACACAATATATAGAATGTAATTACTCAAGGTGCCTTAGACCGCTGCAGCGGATGGGAAGAGAGGCTCCAGGGACCAGTCTAAGAGGATCAGGTGAGTAACTTTTTTTTTTTTTAACCTAGACACAAACAAGTACTTGGGGTACAGTGCGGTGGTAGCTCCATTGCAAGGGTTAAGAATTCTTCTTTACCAATGCTTTCTTTTGACATTGTTCTAACGTGTAATAATCTGGCTCCTAACATACAGTATAGCTATATGAATCCCTATAGCTGCTGTGCTTTTAGTGAATGTACACCTCAATATCAGAGCACAGCGCTTAGCTGTGCACAGCAATAGCTCAATATAATCACCCCACAAAAACATACACATACTGTATATACAGACGAACCCCTAACATACATGTATATTTTTTATATATATATATATATATATATATATATATA